GTCAAATCATTTCTGTGGTCTGTGCTACTGTCTCACTGAGGATCGTCTGCCCTTCATTCATTCATGGTTGTGATAAACACTACACAATGTATCTTCTGCACAGCACAGTCAAAAAGAAAATGTAGTACAGTGCAAATCAGTATTTGTATATTTTATGAATGTCATTTTCGATCTCACAGACATCTGCCTGCCTCTGCCTCCTGAGTACTGGGATTAAAGACGTGAAAACATACACCACTTTTAAAGTATATATTTAAATGTGGTAATAGAGACATGACATACCAGCAAGGCTTAACCAAACTCCTCAGTTCCATTATCCCAGAAAAAAAAACAATCACTACTGAAAAAAAAAAAAAAACAAGATGAAGTGCTGCTCTGTGGCTCACCTACTTCACTGCTTTGATATGAGGCTTCTAGAGGGAAATGTACATTTTTCTCACTGGTTGTCAAAAGCCTTGCAGATAGCCTCTCTCATAGAGGTGACGTGACTGGGTACATACTCTCATAAAATCCTCACTTTGGGAATCATTAACAGCAACCTTCCCAAGGTTCTCTGTTTTTTTCTAGAACTCACTCTCATTTCCACACATTTTTCCATAAGAAACACAATCCATGTAAAACTGGGTTTTGCATTGTTAGTTGGGTAGTCTTACAAAACCACATACTCATTTCCTCATCTAAGTGACAGATAGAGGGCTTAGGAGAGAGAAAGAAAGAGAGAGAGAGAGAGAGAGAGAGAGAGAGAGAGAGAGCGTAGAAGAGAGAGAGAAAGAGAGAGAGAGAGAGAGAGAGAGAGAGAGAGAGAGAGAGAGAGAGAGATTAAACATAGAGATTCTTTTGGGTCCTAGGAATCAACTTCACAAACAAGGGCATGCTCTATGTCACTCGTACAGCAGAGGGACTAAGCCTTAAGCACAGTTGTTGTAGCTTTCTTTATATTTTAGCTGTAAAATATTTTCATTAATCCCCAATTGATAATGTTTATAGAATTTGTTTTGTTCCATTATAAAACAATATATTTTTAAAAGTGAGAAAATCACAGGACATAAATTAAATGATTCAAAATATTCAGTTATTTAAGAAAGGAAAAACATTATGCAAGTAAAGTGCTTCTCTATTCTAATTCCACACTCATTTTCAAAATACTATTATAACCATGTGCTCAGCAAACTGATCCCAGTGCTCTGTAAGAACAGGCACTGCTCTTAACCGCTGGTTTACTTCTCCAGTCCCTCATCTCATCTGATTAATTTAAATTAGTGGGTAATAAAACCTTCAAATCAAAAAATGGATCCACAACATTGTTTCACATAATCAAGAAAAATAAATAAATCTAAATCTGAAATAAAGCCTCAACTCCATGGACATTTGAAAGAAAACATCTGCAAGAAAAGTACTAAGAAGTATTATTCTTAGATAAATAAGGATAACACAGCACGGTCCTACTCTGATACAGATAATCAACACCACCTTGGAAAAACACTGATTCTGAGACTACTTCAAATCCAAAAACAGGCATGCAAAGTTGCCTTGCATGGTGAAAGGTAGAGAGATGTTCTACCAGGAAATCTGACTGTATAGAAAGCTGAACAGGAGGAGGAAGAGCAAAACACAGGTAATGAAGATGACAGGGAGAAAGAGACGAAGACAGAGTATCAGTGGGCACAGGGCTATGGGAAGTGCCACTGGCTTCATCAGTTTGTAATTCTCTTCAACGTTCTCTTCATAGCAAGTAAGACATCCTTGTTCCTAAGACTATAAATAAGAGGATTCACCATGGGCACCAAAAAAGTGTAAAACACTGAGAAAATTTTCCCATGGTCCACAGATTTAGCAGATGATGGCTTGACATAAGCCAACAGTCCTGAGCCATAGAATAAAGTAACAGTTATGATGTGAGAACCACAGGTGCCCATGGCTTTGGACCAACCCTTAGCTGATGACATTTGAATGATATTGGAAAGGATCATAGCATATGAGACTAAGATAATGAGACTACATAAAAGGATAGCTGTACCCACCACAACAGAACTCAAAAGTTCATTGACGTAGGTGCTGCTGCAAGAGAGCTGGAGGAGGGGAAAGATGTCACACATGTAGTGGTTGACGATGTTGGAATCACAGAAGTTGAGCTTGACCATAAACCCTGTGTGGACCATAGCACTAACAAATCCCATCAAGTATGAACCAAATATTAGCATACAACAGATCCTTGGTGACATTACAGCCTTGTACAACAGAGGCTTACAGATGGCCACATAGCGATCATAGGCCATGGCTGTCAGCACATAACTTTCAGAGTTGACCAAAAAAAGGAAGAAAAAGAGTTGAGTCATGCACCCTGTGAAGGAGATGGTGTTCTTCTCTACAACAAAGCTCATCAGTGTTTTGGGGGTAAAGACAAATGAATAAAAGAAGTCAATGAAGGACAGATTGAAGATAAAAAAGTACATGGGGGTATGAAGGTGTGAATTCAGAAAGATGAGATTCGTTAAGCTCAGGTTTCCAACCACAGTGGCTGTGTAGTTCACCAAGAACAGGACAAACAGGGGCAGCTGGAGGTCAGGTCTGTCTGTTAGTCCTATAAGAATAAACTCAGTCACAGAAGAATCGTTTTGCATAACCATTTGCTTCATGGGTGACATCTGTAAGAATAAGCACAGAAAGAAAAATTAACAAGTGATCCCTCCTTCACTACAAATTGGTAGCTGGTTTATTGGTTTCCCAGCTTGGGTTGAGGAAACAACAGCAAGACATCCAAGCTGCAAAATGCTCATGTTGATTATTAGGAATCTCTGTTTCTTCCCTGCCTTCCTTTCGAGTATCTCTACAGAGAGACGCTGACAGCTTCAGTTCCTATGAACGTAATTCCTTCCCGTTCACTTAATACTTACTGACAATAAAGGGTGAAAAGACCAATACATTAAGAGTTTCCTCCAGCACTAATGATTTATATAGCTGTGGCTTTCAAGGGATGCTGTCAATACAAAGAATACTCAGTGCTCACCTTTGCTCATCTGAGCCTTCTCTGATATTGGAGCTCATGGTGACTTCCTTGTCACTGTGCTGAGAAGGGCAGTTACTAATAATAAAGTAGGTAGGTAACTGCTGTCAGCACAGATAGTGTTTATGATCTGCTACAAGAGGTTCACTGGGGAGTATAACACGTTTTCTCTTTGAAAATTTACCAGGAATCTTCTCCCATACACAAAAAAATAACAAACATACCTGAGTGTCCAAAGTTTCAAAGTCAATATTTCTGGGATGTCTTTAGAAGCATAAAAAATTATTATTTTAATATTATTTTCCCTGTTGGATGAGTCCCTTGAGGTGTGAAATTATTGAGTTTGTGCAATGAAAAATCATTGACTCTTTTGAGATTCAAAGTTCTACTCAATATGTCATTTCCCACCAGGAGTAACTAGTCCCCAGGGTAGAGTTGTGAGTGTTCCCCTTCTCTATTCTCTTCATTAAGCTCTGTACAACTCTACAAGAGGAAGTCCCAGGGACATGCTCACTTGCCTTTTGTAGCTTTCTGATTATTGTAGTAAAAAGCATGAGACCAAGAGTTAACACTGTAAAAAAAAATGTTCTACAAAAGGTTGAAAGTGGGACTGGAGAGATGGCTTAGCAGTTAAGAGCATCGTCTGTTCTTGTAGAGGACCTGAGCTCAGTTCCCAGCACCCACATGGTAGCTAACAACCATCTATAATTCCAGTTCCAGGGGATCTAACGCTGCTTTTGATACTGGACATTCCATGACATGGGTGCACTTACATACGTGCAGGCAATACAGTCATACACATAAAATAAAAATAATAAAATATTTTTAAAGGTTGAAACTATTAAGAACAGACTCTAATGTTGGTAATAGTTTCCATACTTCTCACTTCCTAATTATGAAACTGTAGACTTCCCTGCTTCTTTTATGCATAATTTTATCTTCATATTCTTATGAATGTCTATAAAATATGTTCTTTAAAATGGGATTACATTGATATCAGACCGAGCATCCTAAGGTTAGATGACCCACCTACATGAGAGAAAGCCTATTGCAACTTTCTGCTGAATATATATAGTATTAAACTAATTTCCAGTGACTTATTTTTATACCCATAGATTAATGCATCTCTCAACTCACGACAGAGAATATTCCTTCTACAGCAGATGGTGATTAACGCATAAAACCACAACTGGCCATTGTGCAGAAAACAAGAGTCAGCAGAGTGCTTACACCTGAATATGACACCTTATCAAACTTCTGCCTCCCAAGGCTCAGGGATCATTGCAAAATAGGGGGTGGAAACATTGTTGATAGGAGATGAATGACCACAAGGAAAGTTTTCCAGACAGCTGGCCAGTTACTCATATGAACTCAGAGCAATGCTGACAATATGGACAAGTCCCACATAAGCTTAACTCAGACAAAATTCCAACATAGACTTAGGGAAGTGGATAAGAACTTCAAACCCTATCTGAGGAACTACTGGCAATTGAGGAATGCTGGGAAGAGGAGATTCAGTCTCATTTAGTGATAAGATTCTTAGTAGATTAATCAGGCTCCAGTTGATGAAGCCATACCAAAGGGCATTTGGGGACACAAATCTGATTCTATAGGATTTTAAATGATAGACAGATAATAGATAGATGATAGATAGATAGATAGATAGATAGATAGATAGATAGATAGATAGATAGATAGATGATAGATAGGTAGG